GTATAATGTGTCTACTTTATCGGTCAATCCAGATTATCCGGAGAACCAGGATATAGCCACTTTACCCCAAAATTTAAATTCTTTATTAAATTCACTTTGATCTTATGATTCTGAACAAACAGAGAAAAAATCGCAAGGTTCTAGGACAATTTTTATGATGTGGCCACTTTATCGGTCAATCGAGATTATCCGGAGAACCAGAATATGGCCACCATATCCCAAAATATAGTTTCCATGTTAAATACGCTTTGATCTCTTGATTCTGAAAAAAATAGAAAAAAATCACAAGGTGCTAGGACATTTTTTTATAATGTGGCCACTTTATCGGTCGTTCAAGATCCTCATTTAGGCCAGAAGAGTTTCCCTGAGGGCGTATATGATATCTTTACCCCATATATACATAGCACTATCAATTTCCAGTCATATACGTTAAGTAAAGTGTAAAATTATGTCGATAGATAGTGGCATTTCCTACTTTACCGGGAGCTCGGATTGATCCCGGCCCTCTATCTCAGTACGCAAAAGTCTCCAGCCAATTATACCACCACCAATCGATTCAGCAGAGTTATTCCTTTGAGAATATGTACAACATGTTGACTGAAACCATTTGACGGCCGAGATAATCAATTTAGTCGTGGTTTTGTCGATGTTTGCCCAATGTGCAATGTATGCCAATAACTTCTCGGAATATTTGAAGGGTTTTTTTTTTATATAAATGCGTTTATTTTTTCAGCCTCATTTGCCGTAGCTTTGCGGAGCCGATATTCATTGTTTAGTTTACAAAATTTCTTAAAGCTAACGTTAGTAAAGCGGGGGACGATTACTCGCGGCTATCTCGAGGTTAGGGGTAACAAATTGTAGCAAATGGATGGCAGGGTAGGGATTCCCGAACAAAGTAGAATAACAACCCGATATCACCTAGATAACAAGTCTTGCTATCCCAGATATCATTTTGTTTTCAGTTGTTATCGCATAACTTATATAGTTATCAGCCTTGATCAATTTTGTTATCAGTTGTTATCATGAAAAATTCAATATATATTTATCAACGATGCAAGGTTAGTTCAAAACTTTAAATATTATTCGTATTGAAACAACACAAAATAGTGCTTCTAATCCCTAATCATATTTCAGCTATCAGCGTAAGGTTTTGATATCAAAATGATAACATGTTTTGAAATTTATGGAATAAATGTGTATGGCTTCCAGAATTTGTTATCATGATATTATCAATGATAACAAAATCAGTTATTTTTGTGATATCCAACGAGCAATTTTTTGTTATCGTTCTTGTTATGTTGGCTGTTTATTCAACCATAATGATAACATATTCAGTTATCAAAAAGTGATAACCGGGTAATAGAACTTGTTATCAATTTGATATTTTACTTTGCTCGGGTTGAGAACACAAGGTTTGGAGAGCAATGTGCTCTTGATCTCGATCTAAGCGACCAACTGTATTGGGATATTGGGAGTGATTTTTTAGACAAAACGAGTGTAGATCATCTGATCATCCCTTGACCTTAAATCACAAGCCGCTAAGACAGCAGCACAAAATGAGTTGGTGGAAGCGGCTTGTGTCCATCTAAACTCATAGAATTAAGATTGGACTTAGAGCAGTGGTTCCCAACCTTTGCACTTCCGCTACCCCCTATGTGAACAATTGGGTGTTCCGTGGCCCCCTGAAAAGTACATTATATATATTACGCTGAGATGAATAAAAACTATTCATTTGAGTTATTATTCGTTTTATTTCAAAATACTATGTCAACAACAGCCAACAACTAGTTCAGTGCGATTGTTGTAGACATCAAATCAAGTTACGATGCTACGTTTGTGATCATGCCAATCTCATATCTTCGTCAACGTTCAATCTGTTTCTTGCCATGGTTTTAATGTGGAGAAGAGTGGAAAATCTGCTCTCGTACGTACACTGAACGAAAACACCAGCCGTTTACTGAATGATTTTTGCCTCACCCAAGCCCCATGCTTATTATCAGATGATTTTAAGAAGATCATCATTCAATTCATCTTTTGACAGAATCAAGGCAAAACGTATGAACATTATTAAAAATTAGCGTTATAATCATACTTACAAAAATCAAAACAGAACCATATGTGAATGATTCGCATACAACAACTTTTCAACTCATCAGTCTTGTAATGAAAGAAAATCAGATCGAATTCAAATGATGTCCATATCTATGTAGTTGGCTTACATAATTGAGGTATTTTCTTTTCAGAAATATTATTGAAAAAATTATTGGGTAAAAATGGTGTTGCGGGTACGAGAAGAATTAATCACTTATCGATTGCAACGGAAAAATTATCAATTTTCTGCTTTTGAGTATACATGAGTCTTCTTTCAGTTCAAAAATAATTGGGTCTTGTATTTGATGACATCAATGATTTGGTACGTTTCTATGGTCAATTCAAAAGGGTTAAAAAGATGTCCTTCTTTATAATTAATACTTTTATATGTGAAATAGAGACTTTGTAGTTAGAATGTGCTCAAAACTAGAGATTATGAAAGTGGTTTTTAAGTTGTTAAAATATGTGTTTTCTTTCCACGTACTATCCACGAAGTCAGCTATATTTTCCGATTTTAAGAAGCTACTAAATTTCTCTTTTGTCACAAATGAAAACAAACTCGCGCAGTCACGGTTTTGTTTGTCTGCCGCCATTTGCTAACTGATAGAGCTGGATGAATAGCAGAAAAATGATGATAAACTTGAAATAGAATGATTTTCATAAAGGGGCTATGATGAAATATATTCATTTTGGTTCACGATGAAAAACGAACTTTTATGTGCTTATTAATATGTGACAGATTATCGGACGAAATGTTTGAAAAGTAAACAAAAATCATTTATTGTTGATCATAAAGTCATTCGACGTGTTTTTCATTCAATCTCAAGAATAATTAGTTTTGCTTCACGCTGAATGAGATTTCATTCAACGGTCGGTGGATGTTTTGGTTCAGTGTACGTACGAAGATGCAAATGGGACAAGGATCTTCAATGTCTGCTAGAATACTTTGGGATACGACATGGCACGCCAGAACCACTGGTTCAAATCTTTTTCACGGAACAAAGCACGAGATGAGGAATCATTTCTCAGGTCCAAACATTCATCCTGTGTTTCATCAAGACTTCCACATCCATTGAGAAAGACTACATCAGCATCTTCTTGTATCATCTCAGGGAAATACAGCTTACATTGATAATCCTGTGAGTGAAAATGAGCAATTATTTCTGATTAAAGATCCGAATTTAGCTTGGTCGCTCTTTTGTCAGGCCAATACTAACCTTTTGGGGCCAGTTTTGCTTGAATGCTTGAAGATCGTGTTGGAAGTGAATTAGATGGGTTTGCTAGCCCTCTGAAATGAACTAGCCATCGGCTAAAAATCTCGTTGATAAAGTATTTAGGAAAAGTTTACTGGCCCCGTAGTTTCAAGTCCAGTGAATTTTGATGCACACAAATTTATTGAACAAGCAAGACGCTCATGCCAACCTTCCACACTAAAATTAGCAATACAGTCATTTTTCCCTTGAACTTCCAAGAACATTTTGATTTTTGCCTTCAATTCAAAAGCACGGCTTAGAACATTGCCTTTGGACAACCAACGTACCACAGTGTAGAAAAGAATAACCACGTGATCGGAATTAATTTGCTTGTAGAGTTCTTTGAATAAACGAGTGTTCATAGCTCCAGATTTTACACAGTTCACAATTTTGATGACAGAATCAAGTATTTTTAACATTAGTTCCGGCATAGTCTTTCTCTTGCTGACAAGGGCATATCGAACACCTGTGGCGTATGGAGCAAGCTCTATAATCTCTTTCTGAAATCTTTATTTGTTACCAAGCATTGCTAGAGGGCCATCGGTATTAACTCTATTTACATTTTCCCACTGTAAGTCAACTGATTCAAAAAATGTTTTGAAATTAGCCATGATATTGTCACTTTTGGCATATTTTTTAGACCGAACAAACCAAGACCCTCGCGGCCCCCCTAAATAGACTTCGCGGCCCCCCCTGTCGGCCGCGGACCACCGGTTGGGAAACCCTGACTTAGAGCAAGGTTAATGGAAGTAGTCACCCAAGTAAGCCAGAAATAGTGGAAGTAGCCACCTAAGTTACATACTATAAGTTGGAGTAACGTAATTTTGACTGAATATAACACCAACCACAATTATTCACTAACAAATGTGTTACTATGGCAAGCGATTTAAATAAATAAAAATATTTAAACATTACAGATGTCTGCCAACAATACAAACAAAAGGATGTGGAACCTGGACAGAATTGACTCAAGATACCGTTTTTTTTTTAAGGTGACAACGACTTTGAGCTGCAAATAGTGACATTTAGGTGACCAGCTTGAAAAAAGCAACCAATATACTAAAAAGTGAAATGATACCAGCCCTGCTATTACGGAAAAATAATGCTCATATGAATATACGATTATCGTCCCATGTAACACATACCACACAAAGCTTTCCCATTCCAAAAGCGTAAATATGCGTATTAACATTGAATGGCAAATTATGGAAATTACCCTAATGCCATACAACTGTGCAGCTCGGCTCCGTTAATTATGTAACATTCAAACTAATCAGAAGAAATCGCCATGTGATTTCCGCTACATTGCTCTAAAGCCCAGCCACTGCTATATCTAACTCCCCCTCCCCCCTTATCCTGCACAACCCTGCTTGTTGCGGCCAAGAAGCAAACCACATTTCGCATGCTGATTGTGGCTCCGATTTCACCACGCCCCAGCCTACTTTTCCCAATAACAATTACTCCGCTTCGCTTCCACCTGCTGGGCTAACGCGCTTTCCCTTTCCCAACGGAAAATCCAAATTTTTCACCGTGCCGAATAAACCGAATCCCACGTCGTGCGCTCAACTGTGGCATATTATAAGTTATTACAAATGCTGCTTCCGATTCTCCGAGAAAGTATGTAGTAGTAGCAGCAGAAGGAGGAGGAGGACTTACCCAGTGGAATTTTCTCCGTCTGCGGCGACGTTTGAGCGTTCGCTGTTGTCCGGGTAGTCGCGAGCATCAGCAGCAGCAACAGAAGCGACGCCACCGGGTTCTGCCAACGCCTTCGCCGCCATCGACCGGGATGATGGTGGCTCTGGTAGTGGCACGGTTGACGAGCTTTGCTCGTCTTTGTTGTCGACGTCGTCGTGATTAATTCCATAATTGTCGGGATGTTTTTTTTCTTTTCGTTTGAGTACACCTTTTTTGGGGGAAGAGGGGGTGAGGGCGGAAATGTCCTAGCCGGGTGGAAATTTCACGCGAGCGATTAACTTGTGTGATGGGTGCGCGCAAGCGTTTTCCGCTTTTGCGGGGGGTGGTTGGCAATTTTCCTCACGATTTATGATAATATTTTAAGACGTTCTTTTTTTTAAATTTATTTCGGGGGAGCTTGAGAGTTTGTCGACAAAAAATCACTCTTTTTCCCGGGACAAAGTGAGGGTAATTTTTCTCCTCCCGGTTGCTTACACTGTGAGATGTGGTATTTGCGGTTAAAATTTTTATGAAAAATCACTCGAATTAATCTTCTTTTGAATTGGGGGAAAAACGGACACAATTGACGATCACTTATACACTAGGGATAGCACTAACACGTTACACGACGAAATTTTACTTGGACGAAGAAAGCACATTCACATTTGATCAGACAGTGATGGGGCAAGGGGTGAAGGATTTCCTTTACGAGTCTCTATTTACGACCATTACTCATTTCGCTGACTTGTGTTCCTGTTATCAGCTGGTTACGAGCGAGGCATGCGTTCGAGCGGTGCCGTTGCTTGTGTTTATCCACCAAAGCCACCCACCCGAGTGTGGGTGGAAAATCCTGGAATCAGAACTGACTTTTATTCTTTTATCAGCGCAATAAATTGCGCCATTTTCGCGATAAATTGCCCCTGAGATGACATATTGATTTGAATATCAATAACATTCGGGATCGCAATCCATACAACACTCTCACATCAACCCGCAGCTGTCGGATTCTTGCTTATCTCTCTCTTCATCCGCCTCGTTGTCAGACGGACGGCTGCTTCCCGATACCGTATCGAATTGACTTGCACCAAAACCAATCGACTGCTGCCAAACGAGCAAGACGAAAACACTTCTTCTCTTCACATCGAGCGCACTTCGCACACACACGGTTCTCTTCTTCCGCAGCTGCGACCGCTGCCACCGCCCCACCCAAATCCGTGGTTCCTGCGAACGACCGACCGACGAATCGAACCCGAAAACCTTTCACTTGAACTGTCACCGCGGAGCAGGCTGACAATAAATCAAACTCTGCGTCAGCTCTTTGACTCGATTGAATTGGATTTTAAATTTTAATTCGATGCCATCACTCGCGAAACATGCCAGGACCTCGCCTCCCGGAAGCCTTGCATCACTTAACAGAACACATCGATTCCGCACCGATTTCATTCAACGACGACTCCACGGTACAACTTTTGCCGAATCGACTTTTCAAAGTTTAATTTTCCATCAGCAGTTCGCTGCTGCTGCCTCAAGGGGTGGTGGGGATCAGACCCGCTGCATCCGTAACGAAAACAACCAATCTCTTCATCATCATCATCATCGTCGTCGTCAGCCAAACAACCGCAAGCCAAACTTTTGCCACTGCCGCTGCTGCTGCTGTTTGTCCTGCTGACCTACCGAAATGTCCTTTTTTTCGTCGATAAATTCTTCTCCCGCCGCACACACGAACGTAACGCACGACCCAAGGGCGCACTATGCCAGGCCAAACTCACTATGCTAGGAAAACTGTATGTATGTCCAGTAAGCACTCGATTCACCTTGGAGTCAAGTCAAGTCACGCGGCCGTCACCGATGACGTCTGGTCTAGTACTAAAATCTGCATCCCTACCAGGTCGCGGAGACTCCACCAAGACGGCGGCCGCATCCAGCATCCAACCTTCGCGAGGAAAGCGCCCAGCTGGCAACAACAACACCGCCCTGCCGAAATCCCTTTCTCTCTCGAGAGAGAGAGACAGAGAGCGGCCAAGGATCCGAAGGATGCTGCGTGTAGAGATTCTCCCTGTTGGGCTCTCAGTGCATCCCCGTCGCTCACCAGCTCATTTATTCTCGCCTTATCTGCTCCAAAACATGCACCAACAACCACCCACTCCTCGCCAGAGGATTCACCACCCACCCAATCCGGAAATGAATGATGTGCCGTTTAGTTTGATGTCTGCAAATTATGGGCTGCCAGCCGAGCAGTTAGCTTACTCTCTTTCTCTCTCAGCGTACAATCGGCGTTGAGCACTCTCCTGCTGATGCTGAATGCTGTCAGATGGAGTCGGTGAATAACCACACCTGATGCCCCCTCCATCTCTCACAACCACCCCTCGCTGGGAGGAAATTCAATCGAATCCAATATTATCATACGGGGGAACGAAAAGTGAAGGAAGGTAAAAGCGAAATATGATTATGTTCTCGCAAATGCATTCAACCCTTTTCTCAGCTCATTCGCATTACAGCTCGATCCCCCCCCCCCCCTCTCCAGAGAGAACCCGACTACTCCGCGTCAATTGCTGGGTACGGTCTGGCACCTGTCGTATTTGCTTATCGATGATGGTAAGCCACTACTGTATTCCTCCCATTCGTGCGTTACCTAGCCGGGATGTTCAACACCAGCACCCAAATCGGTGGAATACCTACTGTAGATATTGACAGAGGAAGCCGAACCTCCTCACACCGGACAAAGAAAAGTCTGCAGAAAAGAAAGATGTAATTCGATATTGACTTACTGCGTGCGTGAGTGTCAGCTTTACCCGAGTAGACGAGGATATCAAATCATTGGAAGGGCAAGTGAGCCAGTTTTGGCCCTTGGTCCAGTAATTGGCCTTAGTGGATAAATCATTAAAATTATGCGATGCTACACAAATATAGATCTCTGAATGATTATAATTTCAAAGAGCAATACATACTTGTGCTGTAGGCAAAAGTTGTTATGTTTTACAATTCAAATTGAAGCGATGGAACTTGTTTGAAGTAATGACTCCATCATATGAGACAATTCGTTAACCATATGGCTAAAAGTCAGTCACTTTGATTTAGTGTGTAACAATGGAAATATGGAGCAAATAATTTGATTTATCATGTAATTGTTGAGTAAATTATTCAAGTTTTAAACTTGAAAGCAAAAGAAGTCGATATTTCGCTTTATTTTATACTTTTTAACTACGGTCAAAAACTGGACCATCAGATCATAGCGTGCGCTAATTGGCACTAGTGTGATAGCGAGCCTTTGACAGCATTTATTGTTGGTTTTGCTAATAGTTCTTCGGTTCGGAATTTCTACTTCAATTTGGATTGGATCGTATTTCAAGGTAAGGAGAAACATTGTTTCATAACTTGACCAGTGTAGGAATATGATTTCTTTTTTAGTGAAATGGGAAAGACGGCTTAAAAACCCAGGAGTGAAAGGTGCGTAGAAGAGTCAATACAGCTTTGCATCCAATGAATAAAAGATGGAATGTCCCGCCACACAGCATGTAAAAAGTATGGTGTTCCGGTATCAACAATCCGGCTTAGGATGAGCGGCAAGTGGAAGAATCAAATCACTCGGGGACCACGATCGGTACTGACGGATTCAGAAGAGAAGAAAAACATTCAGTGGTTAACCATCATGCAGGAAAGGGGGTTTCCGGTCTCACAAGCAACTTTAAAATTCAAAGTGAATGAATTCATTGTGCAAGACCCTCGGAAAACACCTTTCAAGGATGGTCAACCAGGTAAGCAGCAGGTCAGCCTGGGTAATGAGCTACAAAGTGACATCAAATTATGGTCTTAGGGCGAAAATGGTTCAAATCGTTCATGCGCAGAAATCCTGGGTTTTCTTTGCGCACACCAGAATCTATAACAACTGCCAGTGCCCGTGTAAGTGAAGGTAACATCCGAGGATGGTTTAGCATGACAAAGGATTGGATAGAGAAGAACGATGTCTCAGAGATACTGCTAGATGCTTCTAGGGTATGGAACGGTGATGAGACGTCGTTTTACCTCCACCCAAAAACGAGAGAAGTGATCGCTCGAAAAGGATCTAGAAACGTTTACGAAGTGGAGCAGGCTGCAGGAAAACAAAATTTTACTGTAATGTTCTCCTTTAGCGCGGCAGGTGCAGTTGTGACTCCGCAGGTAATTTTACCTGGACAGCGAGTACGCAAAGAGGTCGCTGAAGGATTTCCTCCTGACTGGCTTATTTGGGTTAGCAAACGTGGTTGGATGACTGCTCATAACTTTGCCGAGTACATAAGAAAAGACTTTCATCCTTTTCTTGTTAAAGAAAATGTACAGTTCCCAGTGATATTTTTTGTGGACGGTCACATTTTCCATAAGGCCCTGGAAGTGCTGGATTTATGCCAATCGTTGGGTATTATATTAATTGCATTGTATCCAAATACTACCCACATTACGCAACCGTGCGATGTTGCCGTTTTTAAGCCACTTAAAGATAAATGGAGGCAGGTTGTGAAGGAATGGTGGTTGGCACACTATGGTGAAATGTTCACGTTGCCACATTTTGGCAAAGCGTTGGCTAAGGCTGTAGAAGATGGAATCAAGCCACAGAGCATTATTAACGGCTTCCGCGTTTGTAGGTTGCATCCTTTCAATCCGGACAAAGTAGATTACTCGAAATGCTTAGCTCAAAAGGTAAATGTTCCAGCTATAGTGGAAGTAGCAGAGACCATCGATACAGCTGCTCATGATGTCGATATAGATACTACCTGTCTCGATTATTGCCACGGCCTTATGGATGCAACAGAGCCAAATCCACCAACGCTGGACAATCTGGATCTGCCAAGAGTGCTACAAGCTATTTCTCCGCAATCAACATCACCATCATCGTCCAAGCATTTCACCGTTCCTGTAGAAGACATCATTCAAGCAGTTGACATGATTGGTTGTCAAACAATGCAAAAGATACAAGCCGATGTATCTAATCTTACTCGAGAGGAACGTATCATTCGATTATTTTTTCTCAAGTTCGTACAACCGTATATTAATGCAACCAGCAACTTCACGCCAGAAAAAAGCTTCGGATTGGTAGATCGTTCAGCAAGAAACGAAATAACAGGACAGTCGCAGGATTACTATTGTGTTTCTCATACCAAAATAACGGCGATAGAGAATGAGATATGTGAAACTACTCACAATGACGGTAATAACATTTAAATTTGAAAATTATTAATTTATTATAAAACATTGTTTACTTAAATTTTCACTTGATTTTAATCCTATAGACTCTGGTGGATTCAAACTTGATTGAAGCAGGATCAATAATTTTTGAATGCGTATTAGCTGACAATATAAGTCTGCCACAGGCTCAGCATGGACCAACAGAAACCGTGGTCACTGAAAGTCAAAACTTGCTCAACAATGATTTTGTTGAAGAAGTCGAGAGTGGTAATACTTTAAATTCAATAATTTTGTATTCAAAACTAATATGAAATCTACTTAATATATCCAAGGAAATAGCGTCCAAGAGCAGTTTAACGATACAGGCGATAACAATCATACCGAGACTCTATCATCAACAACCAGAACCAACAATCAAATTGATACATCAAATGGCATAAAAGAGGAACTTATCTGTCAATCGATTGGTAATCAAAATCTATTTATACAGATTGTGAAACCTCATCTGTTTTCTTTATAGATAAAACAAGCAGGATAGAACAACTTTAGGAAAGGCATTTTTTACAAGATGTCAGTAACAGTCCGGCATCGAAACAGATAAGCTTATCTGATGTTTTACTACTACCGCCTATCCCACGTCGTAGTGGGAAGCATCGATGTTACACAAAAAAGTTTCATCCTGTACTAAAAGCCAGAGAACGCCTGGAAGAAATCCGTAAGAAGGAAGATGATAAATTGAAAATTGAAGCAGAAAAGAAAATCAAAGCTCAACAGCGAGAATTAGCTAAAATCGAGCGGGAAAATTTAAAACGAGTGAAGGCTGAAGAAACGCAAGAGGGAAGAAAATTATAAGAAAAAAGGAGTAAAAAACCAAGGCTGACTTAAAATATTAATTTGTCAGCTATTATATTAAACACATATACCATACTCGTTACAAATAACAATTAAATTGCTTTATCCATGCTAAGCTAAGTTTTATCAATAAATTATTAGTTATTAAATACAGAATCTTTAATCATTGTTTATCTAATAAATTAACTTATAGAATAACATATCCCTTCTTCCATTCAATGAATCTAGAATTTCTCAGTTAGGTTGGGAGTTACAAAATGGTTTCAAAGTGAGTTCATGGTCGTTGGTATCAATATAAATTTGATTATTGCTGGGGTCGTTCTACAAATACAATTCTACGCACGAATTGTAGCTCCCACACACAGATTATTCGCAGTGAAGTCATTACCAAATTCTCATCGGGTTTTTCTATGTAAAACATAAGGTCTGTAAGGTTTTGTATTTCTGAATGTGAAAAATTGATGACCAACAATGTTACCGCTGCTGCTGTTGCAAAAGAAGGTTTTACAATAAGAGAATATTGATATATGTTAAATCATATATATTCTTTTCTGTGACTCACGCATGTGCCAAGAATAAAATAGTTGAATAAAATGGAAATGACATCTCCTCTCATTCCCATCATAGGTATTCCACTAGAGAGGCCCACATTCATGAATTTGTTGACAGTTCCAAACGATTTCCGCTTGGCGAAGACTGACATAGCACGGACAAGACATCATTTCGGTTTGGCTCGTCGCAGTGAAACGTGGTGTTTGATTCTCCGGCACTCCATCCACGTAAAAAGTGACGGCACGTGTGCGAATTTGGGAGCGAAATTGCCGGATCACCCGCCGCTAAAAGACCACTCCGATCAGTGAAGTGAACGGCGCGAGTGCAAGTCAAAGCATTTTGGGAAACCGTCGTCCTTGTTAGACCAACGCAGGACCAACCACAGCACCATCGGATACGTCACGTCCGTCGCTGACGCAGGAAGACGGTTTTTCTAACCAGCAGGAATAGCCAGTCTTGTAAGCGGTCACGGTAGTCGACACATTTTCTGTGATAATCGACTGTCTTTGCCTCCGACACTTACAAAACAAGCTATCATAGTACAGTACCAAACTCAAATGTCATATAACATGCTCTGTCATACGACACTGTCGCCGAATACCGTCACGAATGTATGTATTTTAGTTTTTCTCATAATAAGAGCTGCTGATGTTGTGCTTGGGTGAATTCTGAAAATAGCAAGCAATGATGTCCTAGGAATAACATTTCTGATCATAAATGGTTTAATTTACACCAAATTGAGGAATTAGAACCAAATCACACATGTCACATGATAGTTATTTGAAAATTTTCTTTTTCCTCGAATGTTATTCTACCGGTTGTGTTGTGTGAGAGAGACGACGGTAGAGCATGAGTGTACGATTTCAAACAGACTGTCGCGCACGACAAAGAAGCAAGTGTCGTAAAAAACGTCAACTGTTTCAACCCCTGGGAATAGCCAGCACGTTACGCCCACAGCAACCGCCAGAGCAGGTGTCGATCAGCCGGATCCACTGATAACCCATAAATCACTCTCTCACTAAGCGCGTTGACCATCCGATGACCTTCAACAGACACGTGGCAACATCCGCCCACCAGTACGATCGGAAGATTGACCCGAGGAGGCAAAGCACATAGTTGTATCGAATCGACATAGAAACTCGGTCACAAGCAGACAGCAAATATCCGGCGTTAGAGGAAGTAAGACAGACCATTAGTCGGCCAAAAGCAACCGGTCAAAAGCATCCGGAAAGAAGCCTTCACGGTGAAGGCTTCTTTTCTTCCACTGTAGCTTTGCCATTTTCTTGGACGTGCACGGTGCTGGTTGAACGGATCGAGTACATTGGTCACTGATAAAATCAAGACGAATACGGTGCCGGATCGGCCATTGGTCCACCGACGAGGGTATAGTTGCACACATCTCGTCAGCAGTAGTGATCCGTCGAACACGGAGGAACAGGAGATCCGCTTCTCATAGCACATTGGCTGGAGCGGTCCACCGAAAACAGATAAAGGTTCGGCCTCATGCGAGTGGAGCAGATGTCAAGGCTAAGTGGCCTTCAGTGCACAGTGGTACAGAATGCAGATTTAGGTGGAATGATATGTTTTGAGCCTGAAATTGAAACTTTAGACTAAAAGTCTCTTTTACAAACTTGTTCCTTATAGTTAGGCCCTCATTTTTATGACAATAAATTCTAGGGTGGTTCCTATTATCATTAAAATCAAAAATCTAACTTTTTTGTTTGAATAAATTAAGGTATACATTCTTGGGCAAAGTTATAGTTGAGCTAATTTTAGGCAACTTTGTTCAGAAAAACTTTTTTGTATCTCTTAAATTGGCCGATTTAGAGCTATTTTCTTGAATTGAGTTAGGGTGGCTCTTGAAAAAAACAGGTTTTTTGCTCTATTTTTCTTATTTCGAATTTCTCAGCAAAGGTGTCTTCAGATAACTTTTAGATCTTAAGAAGGCGCAAATTTTTGCTGCACAAAGCTTGTCAATATGTTTCGCCGATCAAGAGTTATTGACGTTTGTATACTAAAAATATACACTTTTCAAATGTTAATATCTCTTGTTGGGGCAAACAATAAAAAAGTTTTTTTGCAGCATTTGAAAGGGCGTATGTTATTCTCAATAATATGAAAAAATTGGAGACATGTTACTTTTTAAACTCGTATAAAATTGAATTGAATTTATTCATATTTTTTACTATATTTGAGTATATCTTTTTTATTAGAAGAGATACAGGCAACAAATTCCGCTATAAAACATTTGTCTTAAAGAGTTTTAAAATTCTCTAGAAGAAAACATTCATGAGAATTTTCAAATAAAAAAGTTATTGCTAAAAAACTATTTTTTTCAGGAACACCATAAGTCAACTCCGAAAAATTACTCTAAAATGAAAACGTTAAGAGATAGAAAAAAAAAAATTTCAACGAAGTTGCTTGCAAGTAACTTATCTACAACTTTGTTCGACAACACATGTTTATATTTTGTAGAACAAAAAAGTTAGTTTTAAAAATTCCCTAATTTGAGGACCACCCTGACGTTTGCAAACACCAAAAGAAGGGAATTTTTAAGAACAAAAACTTCTTTGAAGATACTAAATGTCCAAATATTGAAACAAATGTACTAGCACATTTTATATAAATTTGTCATTAGAGTGGTCCTATGAAATCCATCTTTTGCCAATAACTTTTTTATTTGAAATTTATCATGAAAGTCATCTTCTAAAGACTTTTAAAACTCTTTAAGACAAATGTTTTATAGCGGAATTTGTTGCCTGTATCTCTTCTAATAAAAAAGATATACTCAAATATAGTAAAAAATATGAATAAATTCAATTCAATTTTATACGAGTATAAAAAATAAAATACCTCCAATTTTTTCATATTATTGAGATGTTATTCTTATACGCCCTTTCTAATGCTGCAAAAAAACTTTTTTTTTTGTTTGCCCCAACAAGAGATATTAACATTTGAAAAGTGCATATTTTTAGTATAAAAACGTCAATAACTCTTGATCGACGAAAGATATTGACAAGTTTTGTGTGGCAAAAATTTGCGCCTTCTTAAGATCTAAAAGTTATCTGAAGACACCTTTGCTGAGAAATTCGAAATAAGAAGAATAGAGCAAAAAAACTGTTTTTTTAAGAGTCACCCTAACACAATTCAAGAAAATAGCTCTAAATCGGCCAATTTAAGAGATACAAAAAAGTTTTTCTGAACAAAGTTGCTTGAAATTAGCTCAGCTATAACTTTGTCGAAGAATATATACCTTAATTTATTCAAACAAAAAAGTTAGATTTTTGATTTTAATGATAATAGGAACCACCCTAGAATTTATTGTCATAAAAATGAGGGCCTAACTATAAGGAACAACTTTGTATAAGAGACTTTTAGTCTAAAGTTTCAATTTCAGGCTCAAAACATATCATTCCACCTAAATCTGCATTCTGGACCACTGTGCAGTGACGAAGCGACTTCATCGAGGCTATCTATCCCCAAGCAGGTCAACGTGGAGTAAGCAACGGCGACAGGCAGCGGTTTGAGTTAGTGCTCTGATTTTAAGGAATTGAAGATAGTTCTAAGCGCTTAGTAGGGCTATAGGCAGTGCGCAGCATGTATGGGCGAATGATTAAATGGATATCATCATGCTATGAAAATTCGATGCCTAGTGCTTTATTTGGTTTTGGGAAGAGTTTTCAAATAGACATATATTTTTTTATTTTGCCATTAGGATGACCCTGTCCATGTTGAGGTGATCCAAAAAAATTGTTTTTTTTTTTCAAAAATTACTTTTTTTTTAATTCATAACCACTTTCTAAGATTTTAATATAAAAATATATTACAAAAATTATAAAATTTTGTTTTGTTTTTAATGGTTTTCATGGTTTGCACACAGAGGGCGCAATATGTTTTGTATTTTCCTTTAACATTTAAGCATTTTTATAAAACATATCAAATAATCAGCGATGTATTTTTTCGTTTTGGAGTTATAATTTTTTTTGAAGTTGTGAAGTTTTGAGTTTTCACTCAATACTCCATTGCGAATAGACTACCATGCGTCTTCATTGATTTAAAGTGACTTTAACATGGTCACGACGCATGGTAGTCTAGTCGCCATGGAGAACTGAGCGAAAACCCAAAACGTGATAACTTCAAAAAAATATAACTCTAAAACGAAAAAAAAATACATCGCTGATTTTTTGATATGTTGTATAAAAATTCTTAAATTTTCAAGGAAAATACAAAACATATTGCGCCCTCTGTGTGCAAACCATGAGAACCATGAAAAATAAATACAATCAATGTTTTTCAAAACGCAATCCCAATTTTTAATATCATTATATTTTTTCTAAAATGTATTGATAGTAACCTTTCATTTGACCTTTGAAATCGGCGCAGTGGTTCAAAAGTTATGAATAAAAAAAAAGTAGTTGTTGAAAAAAAAAATCGAAAAAAAAAATGTTTTTTTGGACCGCTTTATCGTGGAAATGGTCACTCTAATGACAAAATAAATTGAAATAAGATTTGCTGGAAACTTTGAAAATATTCTTTGCTATGGGCAATCATTCATATTATTTGCAAAAATTCGGCCATTTTGGATCTTGCAATTATTTTCAAAATGACGTCTTTGACTATTACCATAAATTATAGCACGAAAGCGTCACTTCTGATCGAAATGACGTCTGAGACAAAGTTGTAAAGAAAAATGGCAAAAATTGAACGGTATTTTTT